CGGTCATGGGGCCTGAACTCTGGGCCTGGGCGCTGTCCCTCAGCTCTTTAGCTCAAGGCTAGCGCTCTACCACTTGAGCCACAGCGCCACTTCCAGTTTTTTCCTTTTTGCTTATGTAGTGCTGAGGAATGGAACCCATGCATACAAGGCAAGCACTCTAGCACTGAGCCACCTTCCCAGCCCTGCTTGGCTTTTTTGATCAAAGTTGCAACTCTACTACTTGAGTCATACTGGCATTTTCAATGGGCATTTTCAATAAGGCAGCTACAGGGGAAGAACAACAATGGCTGGGTTAAGTGGTATGAGCCTATTGTCCCCAGCAACACAAGAAGAATAAAAAGGACTGACGTCTACATGGGCTTTTTAAAAGCAAGACCCTACCACAAAAATCAGCAAATAAAGAGCTAGAGGATGCTTCAAGTAGTAAGAGGGCCTGCTTAGCAAGACTGAGGCCCTGAGTAAAACCCCCAGTATTGCCAAAAAAAACAAAATTAAAGATAAAGGGCTGGGCATGCTAGCCTTGAGCGGAAAAAGCTCAAAGGCAGTACCGAGAACCTGAGTTCAAGCCCTAGGATGTTAAAGAGAGAGAGAGAGAGAGAGAGAGAGAGAGAGAGAGAGAAATGTGTCTAGTAAGTATCATACCTAGAGTTCAAATCAAAAGAAAACAAACAACTAAGTTGGGTGTCGATGGCTCATGCTTTTTGGTTTTTTTTGTTTTGTTTTTTCAGTCTCAAAACTAGGACCCAAACTTGGTATCTGATGCCTTCCTTTATTGGCTGGCTTGGTTGGCACTCTACCACCTGAGCCACACCTCCAACCCCAAGGCTATTTAGGAGGCAGTTCATGGTCAGTCAAAACAGGAATGTTTTTGAGACCCTTTCTCAATCTAAAGTGTCAGGTGCTTACTATCCACTATCCTAAGCTATAGTGGAGGCTGAGACCAGAAGGATGAACATTTCCAGACATTTTGGGCAGAAAAAGTCCATGAGGGTGGGAGGCTGACAGCAAGTTACAGGTTATTAGTCCAAATAGTAAAGTCAGGGGGAAAAAAAAAAAAAGAAGACAAAACTAACAAAAAAAACTCCCCCTCTCCACCAAGAAAACCCCCAACTCCTCTCTTTTCTGCTGGTAGTTGGGATTAATGGTAATGATGTTTTTATGGTGCTAGGGATCATCCCTGGAACCTGGTGCATGCTATTGAAACACTACTACTGAACTACAACTCGTGTGTGCATGCGTGCATGCGCGTGCACGCACACGCTCATGCCAGTCCTGGGGCTTGAACTAAGAGCTGGGTGCTGTCCCTGAGCTTTTTTGTGCTCAAGGATAGTATTCTACCACTGAGCCACAGCTCTACTTCAGCTTTTTGGTATTAAATTGGAGATAAAGAGTCTCCTGCCAGGCTGGCTTTGAACCACAATGCTCAGATTTTAGCCTCCTGAGTAGCTAGGATTACAGGCTTGAGCCACTGGTGTCTGACTTTTTTTTTGGGTGTAGTTAACAGAGGCTTGAACCCAGGGCCTTGCAGTTGTACTTGGCCTTTTCTGCTGTTGTTTAGTCCCACCCTTTCAAGGCTGATGGCTCTACCACTTGAACCACACTTCTACTTCTGGGTTTTGCTGGTAATTGGAAATAAGTCTCTCGATAGCCTCCTGAATTAGCAGGATTATAGACATAAGCCCCAAGCACCTAGCTCTAATACAAAATTTTATAGCAAAGAGTCAAGTATGCAATTCAATAAACTAGGACTGCCACAGTATTTTGTTTAAAAAATTAGGTAACCTGTGGATAGTGGTTCATGCTTATAATCCTAGCATTAGGAGGCAGAGGCAAGATTGAGTTTCAGGCCAGCCTGAGTTACAAAACAAGATCCTATGTAAGTAACATGGCTGGCTCATCCTAGCTACTCAAGAGACAGAGATCTGAGAAAGGTGGTTTAAAGCCAGCCCAGGTGCTGGGTGCTGGTGGCTCACACCTGGAATCCTAGCTACTCAGGAGGCTGAGATATGAGGATCTTTGTTCAAAGCCATCCCAAGCAGGAAAGTCCATGAGACTCTTATCTCCTATTAACAACCAGAAAAGCAGAAGTGGTGCTGTGGTACAAAGTGGTAGAGAACTAGCCTTGAGCTGAAGAGCTCAGGGACAGTGCCCAGGCCCAGAGTTCAAGCCCCAGGACTGCTCACTCTCCCCCCCACACCCCAAAAAAAGGGAAGAGGATGCTGCTAGCTCAGGCAGGAAAGTCTGTGAGACTCTTAACTCCAATTATATCCACTAAAAAGCCAGAAGTTAAACTGCTGTTCAAGAGGTTAGTATGTTAGTCTTGAGCAAAAAAGCTCAGGACCCAGGCCCTGCGTTTAAGTTCTAGCACCGGTGTGACACATATACACATAAATAATATAAAAATAATACAATTCACCGGGCACTGGTGGCTCACGCCTGTAATCCTAGCTACCAAGAAGGCCGAGATCTGAGGATTGCAGTACAAAGTCAGCTCAGGCAAAGTCTGGGAGACTCCTATCTCCAATTAACCACCAGAAAACAGGAAGCAGCACTATGGCTCAAGTGGTAGAGTGCTCACCTTGAGCTAAAGAGCTCAGGGACAGCACCCAGGCCCAGAGTTCAAGCCCCACGACGGACAAAAAGAAAAAACAAAAACAATTCATACTAATAATATCTTTAATGGGAATTCTATTACAAAGGCCAAGATTCACAAGCATTAGCATTAGAAGGTAGAGCAAACAAAAGTGGAATGTGGTGGCCCAAGCCTGCCATCCCAGCTAAGTAGGGGGGCAGAATCTCTCTCACCCAGGACAAAAAATAAAATAAAATAAAATTGAGAACCTATCTGAAAAATAACTGAAAGCCAAATGTTTTTTTGTGAGGCTGAAGTGCTATGGCACCAGCTAAGCAAGGGCAAGACCCTAAATTTAAATCAGTTCCTCCAAAATAAAAATACCTTCATTTTCCAGCACTGGAAGCCTACTCAGGAGGCTGAGATATAAGGAGCACAGTTCAGAGCCAGCCCAGGCAGGAAAGTCCATGAGACTCTTATCTCCAATAAACCACCAGAAAACCAGAAGTGGTGCTGTGACTCAAGTGGTAGAGCTCTAACCTTCAGCTGAAAAGCTCAGGGACAGTACCCAGGCCCAGAGTTTAAACCCCACAACCAACAAAACAAAAAAACCTTCATCTGTTACCAAATATTTTTTTTACCCATTTCCCAATCTAGTTGTAGATTATTTTACCAGTTAATGTAAGTAATTTTGATGCTTCAATGTATCCTCAAATAAGGACCATCAAGACACATATAGAGATAGAGAGGATGAGATGAAGGAGAGATACCATTTGATCTAGAAATGATTGGTTCTATTATCTTCCCTTATTTAGTAGAAGAAATTAAATTTAGTTACCAAGGCAGATTAATTAAAAAATTCACTAAAATCCCTATTAATTTAAATATTAAGTTCTGGGAGCAATGGCTTTAATAATATAAAAAGTAAGTTAACTGAGCAAAATACCCTTACATCCATAATCATTTTGCAGTTTTTACAAGGTCCAATCTGGCTAAAGAGCTGGAGAATTAGAGCTTCCGTCACATCTCTGGAAAGGTTACCAACGTATCTGAAACACACACACACAAAAAAAGAAATTTTAATTTTAGATTTCCTTTTTTAAAAAATTAATTTACTTTATTGTTTTATTGATTACAAGTCAGGTAATGAGTATATTTCCTTTCATATAGTGTCTTCTGTTCCCTCCCTCTCTCCTAGTCCTTCCCTCCTGTTTCCAACCATGAGTTATACAGTTCATTTTCATAAGTGTCCAGTGAGTTCCACTGCTATACTTTTTCACCCTTTTTCCCTTGAGTTCTGTACCCCCCCACACCCTCCTGAAGATATATACTTGGATACATTATACATAAAAATGAATCCTCAAAAAATAAAACAAATTGCTTGTTTCTCTATCTTGGAGTTCATTTACATACATATATATGTCTATATCAATATGAAGAGGCATGCAGACATTGCATCTTTTTGTTTCTCTCCTAAGACTATCTACTTTTGGTCTCACTGTGTGTGACTATCTAGAGTCCTGCATAATTTACCATACCCCAGTGTCTTTTAAGCCTAATTTCCATATTTCAGAAAGAACAAATACTGTTTCTTTCTCTGAGCTTGGCTTACCTCACTTAACATGATTTGCTAGACTTGCTTCTTTTGCATCGGTTTTTGAGGTCACTGACTGAAAAATGAATTCTGGGAGTAGGCATATTTTTGCCTAAAACTATACTATTTGGGAGTAACTTAAAAAGTTTAGCAACACTTCAAAATCTCTTTCAAAATCGATGGCAAAGGGCTGGGAAGGTGGCTCAGTGGTAGAATGCTTGCCTTGCATGCATGAAGCCCTGGGTTCAATTCCTCAGCACTACATAAGCAGAAAAAGCCGGAAGTGGTGTGCTGTAGTTCAAGTGGTTGAGCAGTAGCCTTGAGCTGAAGAGCTGAGGGACAGCGACCAGGCCCAGAGTTCAGGCCCATGACTGACCCCAAAAAAAAAACAAAAACAAAAACAAAATCGATGGCAAAATATACTATTTGCAAATAGACAGTGGGTGAAGGCGTAGTTAAAAATTTCAAAATAGCAAGGCCCTGTTGGCTCACGCCTGTAATCCTATTACTCAGCCTGTAATCCTATTAATCAGGAGGCTGAGATCTGAGGATTGTGAGGCTCAAGACCAGCCTTGCCCTGTCAGAAAACGCTGTAAAACTCTTATCTCTAGGGCTGGGAAAGTGGCTCAGTGGTAGAGGGCTTGCCTATTATGCATGAAGTTATGGGTTGGATTCCTCAGTACCCATATAAACAGAAAAAGCTGATAGTGGTGCTATGGTTCAAATGGTACAGTGTTAGTCTTGAGCAAAAGAAGCTCAGGGACAGTGTCCAGGAAGAGTTCAAGCCCGGTGTCTGGCAAAAAACAAAACAAAACAAAAACTCTTATCTCTATTAAACCACCAGAAAACCGGAAGTGGTGCTGTGGCTCCAGTGATAGAGTGCTATCCTGCAGCTGAAGAGCTGAGGGACAGCGCCCAGGCCCAGAGTTCAAGCCCCACGACCCACCAAAAAAATTTTTTTTCTTTCAAATCAAACCTGTTACTTAAGGTTTTTGTTTTTTATGCCAGTGCTCTACCGCTTGAGCCACAGCTCCAATTCTGGCTCTTTGGTGGTTACTTGGAGATAACAGT